GCACCTCCGAATTCCGAGAGCTTCACGGTGACCTCGGCATGGTTGCGCCAGGCCTTGGCGGACTCGCTGGCTCTCAAAATCCAAGGGGAATCGAGGCAATCGTCCACCTTGAAGTCCTTGCCGTCGTTCACCTTGAATGGGTGCCAGGATTTCTGATCAATGCCAAAAATTGGATGAGCCAAGCCCTTCAACTGTGCTTCACCTTGGCGGCGGCATTTCTCGCATGCTCCTTGACTTTCTGAACCTCTTGCTTTTCGAGCTCCTTCTTCCTGTTTTCATCAGCACGCTCCTTTGACTTCTGACGCTGCTTCATGTAGCTAATAACATCGCCGGCGATCTTGGACAAACTCTTCGCAAAGAGCTCTACAACCACCGCGTCAGTTTTCAGCACACTTGTAAGATGGGACTCAACCGCTTTAGCGTCCGGCATGTCCTTGAGCACATACTGCTGAACCTCAAAGTAGATTTTGCCTTGCAATGTGGAGTCTTCTTTCACGACCGAAAGACCCGTGCCCTCTTTGCTGGCCAACTCTGCCATCTCCTGGGCATTCTTCTCGGCGTTCTCGGTGGTGAGAAGATCCGTAGGTGACCCCATCCACAACAATGCTAGCTTGCTGAGAAATGTCAGGGAGCCTTTGTAAGACTGCAGGACCCCATCAAGCTCGGACTGGTTGTCCAACTGCTTGCTCGTATCATCTATCTTTCTGGAAGCAGCCTCAACCTGCGCAGTCAAGTTTGCCAACTTCTCGGATAGCTTGTTGCAAGAAGCAAGCTTGAAGGCTTGCAAAGCAGGCCCTTGCATTTTCTCCAGGCGGAGTCTTGCTTTCTTCTGGGCGGGTGTTTCCTTTTCTGTTGATCCCGGGTCATCCTCTGCTTTTCTCTTCTTCGGGGTTGTGAACACCTGCTCCCCTTCCACACTCTCAATCTGACCCTCCTGCATCTTCTCACGAGAAAACCATGGATCCTGCGCAGAAGGTGCTGAGGCGGAAGCATGCTCCCTCAGTATCTCCCGGTCTTCGTCTCCAAGGTTTCTCTCCGCGGCCGATGATTCCTCCAAGCGGTTGGATCGGCTGCGGGCAAAGTCATTGTGTGTTTCCTCTAGGACTGGCAACCACAAGCGCAAGCTTTTGTCAAGGCCTTTGCTGTCTCGCTTGATTGCCGGGTTCTTGAGATACTCATCCCATTGCTTCTTGGTGGCAGCCGCGCTCCATCCCATGATGGATTCTCCCCGCTTCATCCACTGGCCAAATTCGAACGGAATGGTGCCATCACGCTCCCTGGCCTTCCTTGTGACGCAGAACTCTTTCTTGAAAGTACTCCATTCGATCAGAGCTTTCCTACGCCGCTTTCCAGTAGATGGGCTTTCTTCAAGGAATTTTTCAAAGACGGAAGCAGCATTGGCTGCATCTGCAAGCGCCCGCTCCAGAGATTGCATCTCGCCCTTAGCCTTAGCCTGGTAGGCCACACAATCATATGCACGATTGTGCCTGACACACCAGCGCTTCGACTTCATTGCGGCCTCTGTGCAAACGAAGCAAAGCTTAGCCGGGGCTTTGGCCTTCGCCTTGGCTGTCTTGCCTCCTTCCTTGCCACGGGATTTCTTCTCTGCATCAGTTGCCTGCGCTGCAAGCTAAGCAGCAAGGTCAACACCCTCATCATCGAAGTCCATGATGTGTGGAATGCGCGAAGCCACCCACCGCCGCCCACACTCACACACACCGAAGTCACTGAAGGAATCCGGACTTGGAGAATGTGCTACTGTCACACAGCGCAACGCAAACTCAAACAGACAAGGGCTACATGCTCAGAACTTTTCACGAATTCATTGACATGGAATCTGCATCTGCGCGTCGGACTTGAATGCCATGCACTTCTCTCTCGGTATGAGTACCTAAAAGTCATGACACATGACCCTGTCATCCTCGGGGAAGTCGCAGAACTTGTTTCAAGTCATGAGCAGCAGGCGGCAGGGTTTGGCTTGTCAAAACAAACACAACCTGGCCTGCAACGCAGGGCGCAAACAAAGCAAACCTTGGGCGTGTACCGTTCTTTTGTCACACACCTGCATGGATCCGAAAGATTGAACAAGATTTGCTCTGGACATCGTCTGTCAAGGCGAGATGCAGGTCACAGTGCTTTCGAGAAAACGATTGTCATAAATCCTCTTAAGAAAGGAAACTCAAACTCAGACCTATTTGAAGCTTCAAAGCTCACTTCAATTCACCGGCTAAACCTGCCTCTGTCGCCTTTGAAGCCCTACAATTGCCTAGCCAGCACAGGTGCAAAGCAAACAACTGCAGCGTACAGCAGCGCTAACTTGCCTCAGTTGGAGAGTTAGGCAACACGTCCTTCCGACTCCTGACCGCTTGCCACTTCATTGTGGCCCTGACTCTGACTGGCAGCTGCTACATCGTGGCCCTGACTCTGACTGGAGCCTCCGCGCCCAAAACTTGAAGAACCGCCTTTACGCAACAGAGTCAACTCGGGCTGATGGAAACATTTCGGTTCAGCTTCACAGTGTGGGCCAAGATGTAGTAAAGCCATGACGTCACTGATGGCAAGTGCCACCCGTTGCCAAGGAGCTTCAACTTCTGCGCGGGTGACAACCCTAACTCCTGAAGGATCTCCATAGTCACTGAAGAAGCTGGCCATGTTGTCTGGTGGCTGAAGGAATTGAATCCGTGAGCTTGAAAAAGCTCCTCCGAAAGAACAGGGCGGTCATGGCTGAAGCTGTGTAAGGTTCCGTGAGTCAATATAGTAGGTATGCATGATCCTGGTGTACTCGCCCCACTCTCCGGATTCTGCTCAAGGTCGCAGAAGAAGGCCCCGCCATTCCGCTGAGCTGCAAGTGCTGCATACTGTTGCAGACGCAACACTTGGCCGGGCGCATACATGTGATGCTTCGGCATGTCATCGAAATCTTCTGGCCGGCCAGCCTGAGGAAATGGAGACCGAATGCCCCTCTTTGACGCCAGACGGATCTTCTCCATCCGAACTTCACGCACATCTGCGCCCATGAAAACATCACCTGTTGCTTCCAAAGAAGATCCAAAGAAACTAAAGAAGTGCTCTGCAACATCATCCTGTGAGGGTCCGAGCCAGGCCATAGTTTTCTTGCTGATGCCGCAGCAAAAGACTCGAGTACGGCGCACAGGCCATCCCAGATCCGTGGGCGACACTATCACGTTGAACACTTCATGGGTCATGGAAAGTGGACCGCGAAGTTTTTCCTGCAGGAGCAACAGAACTCAACATCTGCAAGCTAGAAACGGTACATTGCACACGCCTTCTTTCAACAATAACATTTGCAGACACACACACAAACACTCGCGTACGTACAGGACTCCTACTTGCATGTCTTGTTGCAACAATGCTGAATGTTCTAGAACACTCTCTGCTTGTCCTGCACCGGGTATCGAGACGTGCACTCGCTCACGAAGAAATCCTCCTGGCCAGTCTCACCGCGGCGCATGCGCTCTACCAACCAGATTGCACGCGGCCGCTCGCTGGGGTCGGCGAAGTGCAAGCTTTTGCCTGCGGCGCTCCATCCACAGCACGTGGCGCCCGCCATGTTGACACGCAACTTCTCGGATTGATCAACTCCTGAAGCCGAACCTTCTTCCATGTCTGAAGCCTCGCCTTCCACAGCAAGCCTGGCCTTTGACTTGAGTCTCTTGAAAGGGCGAAGAGGCATTCCAGGAATCACCCTCTCGGGAAACAGGGGGCATTGTCCTTGGTGCACCTCACAATAACTCAGCGCATTCGCTGGATACAGCCACTCACGATTGTCAATCAAGTACTGCAATAACGAACCATAGGCTTCAGTAATCTGTTCCTTCGGCACCTTGCCCTTCGGTATCATGCTATCAAGCAAAGTGCAAGCCACTGGCGCTAGCCTGTCGTTCAAGTCACTCATGACGCACACCCTGTGACTACGCAAGGCACTGGTGGCACACAATACCTTCTTCTGGAGCACCCCATGGTCACAGAACCTGAAGTGCTGCACTGCTGCCTTAGCATGCAGAGCAAGCCCATCTTGCATGAGCATCGCGGCGACCATTTGAGACAAGGCTTCATGTTCACCTGCAAGACCGCTGTAGTCGGTGTACATAACCAAGCCCAACTGCAGGTTGTTTCTCAAACGATGCAAGCGTTCACCTTCACTGCCATCCTGCTTCTGCAGGAGACTTGAAAGCACTGTCTGGGGCCAACTGCAGAAATCATTCAAGGTGCGAGGCCCCTGCTTCTGAGCATTCTCTTCCATCATTGTCAGGAATTGCAAAGCATGGACGGGAAAACTGAACTCCAAAATTGTCCAAGCCTATCCCTATCTGCTTTTTCTATGTGTCTGTTGGCCTCATGCCTGTTCCTGCTTCCTGCTGTGCTGAAAGAACATGGCATGCGTGCAATGTTTGCACCCTGTGCTGCACTGTTGCCTCTTGTCTTCAACACTACCAACTGCCAACTACCAACACAAGCGGCTTGGTTCGGAAAAGCAAGGTTCAGCCGGCGCAGGAGCGCAGCATGTGTGTCTGCATGAAAACAAAGACACAATCAAAATAGGTATAGTAGGCAGTAGTAGTGATAGTAGTAGTAGCAGTGGTTTCTTTGATCTTCGCTCCGGGGTCATGGGCCATGTGGTCTTGCCGGCTGCTGCGTGATGCTAATTCGGAAAACTTGAAAATAAGTTGTGTTGTTTCGGGTTTCGGACGGCAAAACTACTGCTGGTGCACAGACTGCCATTGGCTGACACGCTCGTTCTCATGAAGGACTCAAGCTTGGGCTTAGGCTTTCTCATTGCAAACTTCATGTCACTTCCTGTCACATGAAGCAAACCACATAAGAACAAATAGTTGCATGGGTTTGCACTGTTGCACGTGCACTGACAACTTGACAAGCCCTGAGCACACCGTTCGCACACCGACTCACCACATGTGTTGGATTCCTACGGAAGTCTGACGGCATAGCCTACACACTCAGCTGGGCACAAAAAAGAAGCAAGCTTGATCAAGGCTTGATCATGCGCCCAAGTTGTTTGATGTTTCATGCCACCACATGCAAAAAGAGAATGCAAACACAGCCTGTGTGTTATGCATTGTCATGCTGCACTGGGTACACTGCACCGCACTATCACATCATGGGTTTGGATGATCTTGCAATCTTGCCACTATTGCTGCGCTGAAAACTTTTGCAAACTCTCGGCTGGCAGCAAACATGTTGAAAACTGTCAAGTCCACATCAAGCTCGATCTGTTTGCATCAAATGACCACATGACTCACATGACGTCGCATGACTGAATCATGACTGTGACATGACTCACCGCAAACTGCCACAAAAGCCAATGTGATCTGAAAGCCTTTGCAAATGCAGATCCGCAAGGTTTTCCACCTTTTGCCTGAAAAGCCTAAGGAAACCAGGGAGCTGAGTGTCAGGTTGAACCGAAATGCTGGGAGACAGGAAGGAATTTCGAGCGTTCC